GGATTACTTACGCCTTGTCATGAGACTGCCATTAGGCGTTGTGATTTTCTGTGATGCGGCTACCTTATGACTGCCTGTTACTAGTTATTTTTTCGCACCTAACCTCCATATCTAGAGGTCGTTTCCCTATTGGCAACCCGCAGACGTGCCCTATGGCCAGCGACTTGACCCACTGGGAAAAATATGCTATTAAGATAATCATGCTGATCTTACTGGTCTTTTTCTTCGCGTAAGTTGCGATAATTCTATGGTTATGAGCATTGGAGCTCGGTCTATGATTTGGACTTTCATTTTAACGCAGTGTTTTTTTCTGGATTATAGCTTACGCTGTTTATTACTCCGGATAGTCGGCTATCAGGGAGATGAATGCGAAGTACAACCAAGAGGGGCGCTTGCATCCGACAGCTGGCCATACCCCTTGACTGATCACATCAGAACCCAGGTTTGAACGGGTTACCTCCGTTGTTCTCTACTCGACGAATTTCTGCCCGTTTCTCAGTTGGTTACACCGAAGCAACGTGGGCGAATTCCTTGCCCAAGGAGATTAGTCACTGAGAGTATTTCGTTTCTTTATCAGGATTCGAACCCGCACCTCCGGAGTTCGAAGCCTGCCACGTTGCCACTGTGCTCTCGCGGTTTTACCCTAGCTAATCGATTATTTCTATGGCCAGCAATCTTTGAGAACATTATTTGGCCTGAACGATGAACATTTATTTCAATTATTCATCTGTTCGTTCAGTCGCTCATTCATTCATCAACACATCCGTTCATTTACTCACTCAGCGATTCACTCCCTCACTCATTGATTGCTCATTCATCACTCGTTTATTCGTTTAATCATTCTTTCACTTGTTCATTCTCAATGCGCTATTCCTTTGAGTAACAGGATAGCAGCCTCATGAGGTTTCTCGGTGGCTATAGTCTCATTAAGCTTGACTTTAAGTATAGCAGTGCCTTGTTTTTAACATATTCGAGCCATTTGATCCTCGAACTGTTGCGTGGTCATCTTCTGTCTGGCATTCCTAAGAGAGATCGCCTTGTGAGTTTCTCCTCGTACAGATTCAATGCGGTTACCGGAGGACAGAGCGCTGACAACAACCAGCGGTCTGTGTCAAAATGGCGGCGCCTGATCAGCTTCGCGAAAACGTCCCGTTACGATCGTGATAGCTATCGAAAACTTCCACATTTATCACCTCACAATCAGAAGAAAGAAAAGATGCAGTTTCAGGTTGTTCAGATAGCTACTGATAAACGGTTAATTTTTAAAATGAACTTAAATACAGCTTATTTATCACATCAACATTAAGTTTATCGTAGTTGAAACCTAAGACCAACATTTCGTTCATATCTCACGGCTGTTCTGTAATCAGTTACTTGTTTAACTGGATATGTTATTTACAGGAACTGCTTGCAGCGAATCAGGAAGCGCTGTGCCAACTGAGCAAAGAAAACGCCACATTGGTAGAGGAGGTACAACTACTAAAGCAGAAAATTGCTGAAAATGAGGAAAACGCTAAAAAAGTGGAAATTTTAACTGCCGAGGTAATTAAAATTAAAATTGCTGGATGCAACTCATAAGAGATCTACGTTCATTCAGTGCTTGGACGACAGTTGTTCATTAGACTTGACGTATTCTGTTTTGCGCTGATTAACATGTTCGGGCATTCGAACTCATAGTTTATGTTTTGCGAAAGCACAGAAGAACCGGCAGCGTTTTGAACAGTCAGTTTCTGGTGACGATCGAGTAATTCATTCAACCAAAAGAGCTTACTGCTTACCTCAGTGGGAAAAGCACGTACAACTAGCACCGACTAACACCAGCAATCACTGACCCACTTTTATAACATTATGCATATAATGCGCAAGCAAAATACACAACAATAAGGAATAGTGAATACGAATTGGTGGATATTGAATTCATTTATGAGTGAACATTAGAATCGATTCGAACAGATTTCGCATTTCGCTTTCTTCGTTCTGCAGGCTCATATTCGTCTCCAGGATCACAGATTTTCTGTATGCTTCGCTCGTCGCATCGATACAGACATATTGAGACCTTCTGTAATGAGGTCTCCTAGTGTCTTTTCGAATAGCTCGACACATGGAGTAGAAATGATCGATTAGAATAGATTTACTAAGGTTTATAATGAATCTTGCTATCTGTCCCGTCACAACGTTTACGACATTTATATAACACAGCTGACCTGCTCTGCTGGCAATTTTTAGAATCGATCGAAATTTGCATAGTTCTTTTGTACGAAAAAAGAAGTATACGAAGTATACTGGCGAAGCATTTGTAGTTAGATGAATTATTCAGGTACTGAGAACTGTTTCCTGGTTCCTTTGACGGTTTGTAATGAAGTTAGACGTTTCAAAAAACAGTTGCACCTTCTTACTTTCCTGAGTACATTTTCTGTGTGCAGTGAAGTGCAGATTTTTGTCTATGGTGACAACAAGATAGTTTCTATTAATAACCCTGTCTATGCATTGCTTCCGCTGTGAAAGTGAGGGGACGATGCACTTGGTTAATCCATTTTAAGAATGTTTATTAAGCTGGAATAAACATGATTTTGTTCTTTGGTTCTTTATCATTAATGAGCGAGCCATTTGCTTCTGACCAGTACTGAATAGAAGCGTATCACTGATATGTACGTCTATCACTCTCATACATGGTAGCTGTATCTGCTTTAGATATCTTCTAGTAGTAGGAGTCCAACACGCAAAATACCGTAAAATCCGGCTTGAATGAGATGTTGCTTAACTCATATCAGGAAACAGATTTCTAAAAGACATTGAACCTATGTTTTATTTTGCATGTTGAAAGATTTTTCTGAAGAGTGATTTCAAACTAAGGCATTAGTTCTTCACCTGGTTAAAAAAACGGAATTTTCGTCTCAGATCAACGATGATTCAGCAAAAATTTGAACTTTCGATGTCCTCCTAAATAAGAACGACCTTTGCTTCGACGCCACTCTCGAAATATTCAGCTGAAACCCGTGCTACCGCGGCATGCACAGTGTAACCGAGCAGCAAATAAAAGAATTCCTTAATGGGACGAAACACGGTGAAAACCTGCCATAAACCAGAATCATTTTGTTAATAATGCACTATTAGACTAGACTGAAACAGTAGTGAGGTTTCTGCTACAAACCTTCAGTGAAGAATTGAATGAGCGATGCGATCCGCCCTAATCAAGGTGAACATTTTTCACTATTTCAATTGATATAGCAAAAATACGATCATGAGTCATGAGATAGACGGACGGAAGGTCAGATGATACACTGCAGACGCGAAAATATCCGCTAAGGGGATACAGAAAAAAGAGCACTGTTCACGTCATTTGAGCATACAAAATAATGTACTTCGGTATAGAGGGCAAAACACGAAAATGATTATCGTGTTATCATCCTTTTGAATGAAGGATTATATGTATTAGTTGCTCGTGAAACCGTTTTTAAGCGATCTCTTTTCAGGTATCCGAAAAGGAGCTATGTCTCTGCGATGCACAGGCTACTATAGAAGCTTTACAGCAGCGGATTGTAGAATTTCAGCAAAATTGCGACGATCAGCAGATCCTTATAAAAGACTTCAGAGAGAACATGATGAATCTTCCAGCGGAAATGGAGGCTGGTTTGGAGAGGACGAAGTTCGATTCGGGCACCTCCATGTCAAGTTCGACCGAATCGAAGTTACTGGAAGAGGTGGATAAACGAATACGGTATGAACGTTGTCAACCGACGTTGTGAAATTACAACAGCATGCTTGATGGTCGCCTTTCAGGGAAGAACAAGAAAAGTGGCTTGCCGAAAGGGATGCAAAGATCGAAACGGTCAGACAAGAGGTTAAAAGCGAATTTAAAATCGAGGTTAAGTGGATGTCTCATTTTTCTTCTTCTGCATCTTTGACGTTTACGCTTTAACCTTAGATGGAAAACTTAAATACCCAACTGGAAGCCAAGAGGAGCCTCATTAATGACCTTCGGTCGAAAAACGATGCTGCGATGCAACACCAGGAGGAACTGTGCGCCCAGCTATCGGCATTCAGCGAAGAACTGGATCGCTCAGACACAGTCAGAAAACAGTACGAAAATGTTCTCGGCCAGCTTCATGAAGAAAAGGAGAAGAAAAAGGTAAATTGATTCAGCTGAGAAACGGATTGAAGAAGAGGTCACACACCGATATTGCCATAATGTCTAATGCAAGGGTTGCAATTTTCCTTGACCGATCTCGTAACTGACTATGCAGTATGATAACTAGTATTAAATGTCTACTAGTGTTTCATTTCTAACGCCGCTTTTAAACTATAAATGATATTTTAACCTCAATTAAATCACTGCTACATTTATCTGACACGTACTTGTTATGAGTGCACCATGAGCGCATGTCCAAATTCTTCCAAATTTCTGTGTTCTACTCTCTACCTTTAGCACTGGTGAAGTAATTTCATCACCACGAATAATCCCGTAGTGGCCGAAATATTGGTACTGCTTAGGTCAGTGTGAAAGGGTTTTGTCTTATTATTATTGTTCAGTAGTTTATGAAGCTATTTAAGCCAAATCGTATACTGCTGTTCAAACTCAGAGTAGTAGTGGTAAAAACATCGCTAGAATGCTGTAGTTAAACTCGAATTGTTTGATACTTGTCTTATTGTAGAAACTCGTTGACGAATTCAAAGAATGCAGATCTACTATCAACGAGCTGATTAACAAGCAGAAAACGGAAATCGAGGAACTGACTCTGGTGGTGGACGCACAACGCCAGAAATTGTCCGAAATCGAGCCTCTGGAACAGAAGCTTAACCGTAGACACGATCATAAATCTCGTAAAGATGTGAACATGCGTTACTATTTAGAACTAAAAAGCGAACACGCCAACTGCGTACACCATGAAAAGTTATGCAAGGAACTGCAGTTCGACGCTTATAGGGAAGAACTGCGATCGATGGAGGAAAAGATTGGGCGGATGGTGAGGAGACGATTCGCCTTCACAGACTAACCAGTGTTGTCATCTGCGTTTTGCTTTGTTTACAGGACGACGAGTGTCAAGCGGAAGTGCAGTCGCTGAGAACTGAAGTTCACAAAAAAGATCAACAGCTGTGTGAATTAAATCACAAAGTATATGCGCTGACCTCAACGCTGGATGAGGTGAACAAGGAGCTTGATCTGAAAATGCAGGAGATCTTGAATGTTCGTAACGAAACCCATGAATACATCAGGTAGACTCTCAGTTCGACCTAACTTAATGGTCAGGCAGCTGTACATGCAGTGTTTTACTAGATGGTCTCCTGATCTGCACCTCATCTCATTGCTTTATCAAAGTTCCGATAGGCTTCTGTATCTTATGCTACAGGGAATATTGCCTTTAATCAATGACATCTTGTTTGGGAAGACATCTTATCCATTAGTTGAAGAAAATTTCAGCTTTATTTCCATTGCGATCAGGTTCAGTCTCAATCATGGCATATTCGGTCTGAAAACACCGCTCTCCTTTGCGCTTATTCCACCACACTTATCATATCGAATTTCTGATTAAGATTCATGGTAGTTTCGAGATGTTAATGACCGTATTTCATAGGAGAAGAGAACAACAACAAACCAAAAGTCATATGCGAGACATCGACAACATCAGGCAGGATTACGAAGCCAAACTACGAAAACAAAGCAGTGCCGATAACGACCAAAGTCAAGAATTGAAAGTTTCATTGGCGAAGTACGTACACATTTTATGGCTTATATGATTTTCGTCATATTTTAATTCGTTCCGTTAAAATTTCTAGAGCCGCTGAATCCAGCGATGCATCCGAAACAGTGGAGAAGTTTTTGACAGCTGAATCGAAATCTGTCAAAGGTACAAACTGGGATGACGCGATGCATGCTAAGGTAATATAATATGTAGATTATTCTGCGGTATCGGTTATTAGTAATTGGTATAATAATTTAATAATTGGCAAAAACATTGGTATAATACAGTTTACAATCCCCTGTCACTTTTTCTGATACGTACGGCGTGATCGCATCATTGCCTTGCGTTTGGTTGCTTATGGAACCGTTTAAATAGGCTATAGCTCGATGGGGTTTTAGTACCTGCACGCATGGATGCAAAACAGTAAAACATTTTTGGATCGAACGAGCACATATTCAAATACACACCGACATACCTCGATCCGTAGGCATATGTAATAAATATAAACCGCGTATTATAGGTTTATTGGCGAACTGCATTTTTTGTAAATGTGATTTACTAACAGATATTGAATTCAAAGTGCTGACGTCTTCACTCCAGCCCATAGGCTGCAAATCAAAATTTGTTTCGTTATTTCGTTAAAATCGATGGCCGCATATTCTTACTCTTTCTAGTCTGATTTATATTCATTTCACTTCAAAGAATGTTTGTTTCTCAGAATGATTACCTTAAAACGTATGCGGCTTTGTAAACATCAAGATGCTATTGAAATAGAAGATCTTGCTTTTAAATTCAATTGTCGAATTGACTGAAAGAGATACAAGAGATACTGTTTCCAACAGATACACAAACTGACCTATTCACCAAATTTAGTGAAAGAGTTTTCGACAAGCCGGACTGAAATCTGTGACAGGTACTAAAAGCACAAATTATGATTTTCGTCTTTAAAAATTTTTGACTATTAATCCCCAAACAAAACCCTACAGATGTGTTTCATCTTACTGTCTACCTTAAGAACGGAGATTGAGGATTCATTGGGAAAAGAATAGTTTATAATTAAAGTTAGAAAATTAAAGAAAATAAAACCTGAGAAACCAACTTAATAACATTGTCTGGACTTGTATATCATGTCGCTGCCTTTTTAATGCAATGACGGCATTTCTCGTTGGCAATTTTCAGTGATAATTCGTTGCGATGTCGTCTGCTAATATGAATCTCCCTCCGGACTTGTGGCTTGCCTGCTCAACTAAGGAACCCCTGCAAGTGTGACGCTCGACTACAGTTCCACAATAAAACGTTTATTTCGATAACAATAAGAAAAGTAGGCAAGTGCACTTCGTAGTGAACATATCCAGTACACAAAGACGACCCCTTTTCCACCATTCCTCACTCTCAAAAACCTAAAGAGTTTACGATCCAGTGGCTTTATGCTGATCGTGCGCTGGTGGATCAGTAAAATGTTTAGCGTAGAAAGTGCCTCTTTGATGATGATCCTTCTGGCCAACCAGAGTTAAACGCTCAGGGTTCATGATTTGTTGCTTGCTACACGCCGTGGTCAATCAGTTTGTTGATGGTCGCTCGTGTCGTAAAAGCCGAGCTGAAGTGCCGGTTTACTTTTGATTGATATTATCACTCTTTTTTTGTAATTCAGTGGCACCGCCAAATACACATTGTGACCAGGAACATGAGAAAGTGCAGGAAATTGACTGTTACAACGTAACTTGTAGGAGTTCCATTGTAAATGCATTAGCATTAAGGATGATAACATTCTAATTCATCCCTAGAAGCAAGGGAACGGTGCGGTTACGCCGAGTAAACCCAGAATCAGGAATTGAAATATCCTGACTACTAGAGCAATTCAACAGCTAGAGTATGAGAGCTACTCCAGAATATCGGGATTATCCTTTGTGTATAAACAAAACAGAATTTTGTGCTGTTGTTTTGTATTTGCTTCTTTTGTGTATATTCTTCATCAGGTGCAATATTTTAGTTTGAAACTTCGGAGAAAAATTGTACCCATCGTAGATCGGTGCCCAACGCGAAAGAAGTACGTCATTCCTGCATCCCAGCTCAAAGTGCAGTTGACACATGGAAGAAGGTAAGCTCCAAACTCCCGAACTTGGTGGCGGCCTGTAAGCTTTAAAGGCTTGAAGTCGTACCTCAGGGAGATGGTATGATGCGGATGAAACAGTTCACTGTTGCTCATGACAGGCCCGAGCAACTGCGGTTAACGGTTCCCGATTATTCTCACATTATCCTCACATAACATTGCGGCCAAGTTCAGTCCCAGTCTCAGTGCATGAAAAGCTCAAATTTTTCATCATAACCACTTGACGCTGTCGTTCGTTTCAGAGAGTCAGCTTATCGAGTGCCTGTTCAGAACGAACACCGCACAACATATGTCGTAAAGCTAACATGTCAGTGATTTGCAAGTGGCAAAACCTGGTAAATCAAGTTACCAGTGACCAAGCGGTTCAGACTCGCGGTCAAGGTCACGGCACAAAACCGAAGTCGACACCATCGCAGCCGAAAGGTGCGACCCCACCAGACGCCAAAGACAAAGCTAGCCTGACACAGTCGACGATGGAATCGATTAAGGATGGTGGTCAGTTTAAGAGGTAAGAGTAATGTTTGTGTGCGGTGAGTGCCTCAAACTACGCACATTGAACGTGATCGTTTCTCCTCATTTTGTCAAAGTCGTCCAGTTGAGTGATGTCTAACCATATACTAGGCTACTTTCAACGAAATCAAGCGATTCTAGTTGCAGCGGGACATCAACGACTGGTAAATCGCCAGTTCCAAGAGTAAAGTCCCAACAGAAACCAGCATGGAGACTGTGAAACATGATCGCCTGGCGCTCTGAAGGTTCCGTCTATCTACGCGGTACCGCCGATGTCGAGGTCAACAGACTGAAACCCAGCTCAAATTTTCAGCTGTCGTAAAGGGAACGTGCACAAATGAAAGTCAGGGATGATCCTATAGCAATATCTCGAAGCGGAAGGACTGATTTATACCAGATCATTGAATTGACTGTATTTCGGTGTCTGTAAATTTACATGTTTGATTTTTAATTAAAAGCATTTACACGATCTGCGAAGAATGACTAAAATATGTTCTTTGATACACGATATGTCTTCTGTTGTTTACTTGACCACTAAAATGCGATCATCGTCTTATCCTTGCATCATTACCACATCATACTTAGATGATGATATAAGAAAATTATAGCAAATGAAATGCGGTGATGTGTACACAGCAGGGCAGTTGTTCAAATACAGTGGAGAGTGAAGTGTTCGAATGTCACCTTAAGCTGTGGTACAATAAGGCTGGATTTTAACTGCTGAGGAGTCAAGCTCTTATTAACTTATTCGGACGTTTTAACCCACACTTAAGCGATTAACTGTATGGTAGCCCACTGCACACATAATTAATGCTGAAGTGATGGTTTGGATACAGGCGCGAGAAGTGGAGGATGGGGTGCCTGCGACTTGCCAGTAGTACCTGCCCGGGATCAAAACTTCACAATGTTCCAATTCTCTGAATCCGTTGGGCCGAATGAAGGTTCAGAGGATAATGGCCATAGTCAATGAGGGCTGCTCCCCTCCGAGTAAACTGCTGAACAACCGTTTAACAAAAGATATTCATAAATATAGAAGACTGGAGGAGCGTTGATTTGCAGTCATGTGCGTCTATAATGAGGACACGTCGGCTGCGGGAATGAAAGAAATAATGATGAAACGCAAAGATTCGATTTTGAGAACCACATTCCAGCGAACATTTAATGAGATGGAAAAATTTATCAATATGCAATTAATAATGCGAAATTTAAGTTCGACACCAAAGCAGCGACTAATGATCTTTGTTATCTTTGACTCTTATGTTAAATCTATCAAGTGTGTGGGCAGACAAAACAGCCGGTGCGTCTGACATTGGATCGCGACCGGTGTTGCTCTTTGGAAAGGCGATCACGTCCCTAATCGACGCGGAATTCGTGAGACAGAGGATGTAGCGATCCAGGCCGATGGCAAATCCTCCATGAGGAGGAGCCCCGTATTCCAGAGCCTCTAGAAGATGACTCATTGTTGAAAAGTCCTCGTGGAGAACGTCATGTAAAATGTAACGCTGAAGCCGGGAATCGTGGATCCTGATCGAGCCTCCTCCAAGTTCGACCCCGTTCAGGACCAGATCGTAATGCCTCCCGGTAACTGCCCCGGGATCAGTGTACACCTTTTCCACGTCTGCTTCTAGTGGGGCTGTGAATGGATGATGAACACTCTGCCATACGTTGTTTTCGGCCATGAACAAAGGAAAATCTGTAATCCACACGAAACTGAATTTGTGCTTCCTGACTTTCACGCCTTCTTCGAAGAGAAAATCTGCGATTTTAGGACGGATATAACCCAACGTTTGCTGCACGTGTTTCATATCCTTTGCCTTTGACACCACAAACATACCACTGTTGCCGGAAAGCTGAAGATAGTCAAATATTTTCCTCATTTCCATTGTCGTGATCAGTGAGGAATCGCTTTGTTCACAAGTACACGGCAAAACCGTGAATTCGGCAGCGAAACTACTGTGATACGTTGTCAACAGGTGGCGAAATTCGGCCATCTTGCTGGAAGGGATGACCAACGATTGACCATCGATGCCGGGAATCACGAAACATCCTATGGATACATGTGGAGTATCTGAACATTGACTGACATCATGCAAAAGCCATCCAAAACGAGTATCAGGTTTATCCGTGCCATATTGATTCATCGCATCCGCGTAGCTGCAAAATACAAAAATAACTACGGTGAAAAATCTGTCGGTAAATCGTCATAGTCATTTATCTAATTTAACAAAACAACCAAAATAGTCTCTTCTATGTATATGCTGTCATTGGTTGTTATAGACATCCGCAGAAGCACCCGGGAAGAAAACAAAGCCTTGTAGCCAGGTACGTCAAGGAACATGTGAAACGCCGTCAAAGAATGTGTAGTACACTCGCCCCCTGCCGATGGTCAGAGTTCACCGTCATCATCAAAGCAAGATACTGGCTGAACAGATGCGTCATGAAATCATTAATCATCCTGACCTGTGGCAACGTCAACTGTGCGAAGACTGAATTAGACATGTCGTTCCTGTCTCCATAAAACCAGTTAACCGGCAGCATGGACCAAAAGCTTACCTTCGCACTCCAAAACATACGAACCGCTGCGAACGACAAAAAGGACCACCTAATCCAACTGACCTCGCCTTGAAGTAGGCACATGAGATACGGGCTGAAACGACGGTACTGATCATCATCCAAATGACCAAAATATATGCTTAGGCTGTATACAAATAAACCGCGTTTTATGCTAATTTCAAGCTGTTATCATTAATAGCTCAACACGTTAAGTATGAATATTAGATTTTCATAAAGTACCTTGTTTTAGAAACTTCGCATGTGCAATCGTTATTATGACGAAAAACGATTTAACGATACACCTAATTCTCGGCAGCGAGAAGTCAAATTATATATAAGGTCCAGCCACACTTTGATCTAATGACGAGAGTGGTGTTAATGAAGAACTCAGAGCACATATACGAAACTTACGTCAATCGGCGGAAAGGCAGTAAGGGTTTTTCGGAGTCCCATTCCGGAGGCCACGACTTGATAATCAGCTCCTCGACCAGCTGCATGACGCCTTCCTCGTCGACGAACGACATTTCCAAATCTACCTGGGTGAACTCCGGTTGTCGATCCTGCTTGCTGCCCTCGTCGCGATAGCAGCGAGCAATCTGATAATAACGGTCGAATCCGCCGATCATGAGCAACTGTTTGAATTGTTGAGGACTTTGAGGGAGCGTATAAAATTTTCCTGGCTCTGATGAGACGGGGACGACGAACTCAGCGGCACCCCCGGGGGTTTGTCGAA